GCCTCGAGCCGCTCTTTCGAGTGGGAACATGATCATGCTATGGCATGGAATCTCGCGGGTAAACACGCAAGATGGAGCGACCGAATCCGCACCCTTACCCGAGAGTCTCTTGCCATCACGTTGGATCGTCATAAAAGAGAGATCATGCGGCCCATTCGCGGTGAGTCGGACTGGCGAGAGGATAGGGATGGCAGAAAACATCATCCCAACGACGTCAAAGCTCTCAACGAACGCGATCGCATTCTTACCCAGTACATCTCGATCCACGCCCGCCATGGTGATTTTCTCGACAATTGTGAAGCCCGCAAACAACAGGGTAAAGCCTGTTATCCACCCTTATCCACATTCGAACAGCTTATCGAGGAAATGGAAGATGAGCTTCGTAACCAGGGAAAGCTCTCGTGGTCTGAGGGACGACTACCCGTAATTGTGACGAGCGATGAAATAAATGAAGAATGGTGGACGGAAGTTGAGCGCTACGGCTGGAAGCGCGTCAAATACCCTCCGAGCCTCGACCTCCCTCCAGGGTTCGTGCACGTCGAGGGAAGGGAGGAAGAAGGGATAGCGAAAGAGACATATGATAAGATGTGGGAGCGGATGCTTGTCGAGATTGCTATACAAGGATATGGTACTGGGTTTATTGGTACCGAGGGCAGCACGATGAGCCTGATGGCACAAAGGCGTGTCGAGCATTGGCAAGGGCTGCTAGGGCATGGAATGTGGTGAACAAGTCTCCATCGTTCCCGTTGGGGTGAAGTCGCGCTGCACGTGGTACCGGAGTATAAGAGATATCTTCATAGATAACAGTCAATAATTACACTATGTAGCACGATGTATCTTATATCGTACCTAGGTTGAGATGTTCAGGCAGCTCTGAATTCGTGTAAAATGTTTGTGCCTTCAATTCTGCCGTCGCCCATATGCTCCAGCAAGCCATTTGATCCTCTTCATCAGCAGCATTACTCCCATCTGGTGCTTTTCGGCCACTGACTCCTCGAATGTCTTTGACATCCCGCCATTCGACCAGCTCCTTATTTACCGCCCTTGCCCATCTTTCCAAGTCAAATATGTCGCCTATAGCAGGATATCCAGCGCGTATCGGTAAATGAGGTCGACTGATCAAAGGCGGTATGATCGGTATATGAAATGGCGTGAGGATCGAAATGGTAATGAGGTGCATGACTCCCATAAACTGGTTGGTGAAACCTCCACCACACCATCCAGTAATGTACTTGTTTCCGGGTCTCAGATTATCTACAAACGAAATCGATCAGAATGGTCTGGATTTAACGTATCGGGAAAACGCTTACCTCGAAAGTGAGCGGTAGCATTTCCTTGGAGGAGTCTGCTCGTATCCATCATCCGAGAAGACATTTCGTATTCCCTAGCGAGATCCACGTCGTCATCGTCAAAATGTTTGAATTGGTCGGTTTCTTCGTTCGACCACGAGTCCTTGCTCCCGGCATGGTACATATCATCTAGCTCCTCCTTTGATAACAAATGTCCAAAGGAAGGAGCCTCGGGTTTACCCCGTCCGGCACGATTACACAAACGATCTAGTGCCGCTCCGGAAAAGTCGTACTGCGTGGTGTGCGAGGCAAATACTAGGCTGAAGAAGATGATACATAGAGTGATAGCGATGCAGAGAGCTAATAGACGTCTTGGAAGACGTGTATTGGGCAAGTTCCACCCTGGACTTGCCATCTATAAATGAAAATGATGTACCGTTTTGGAGAGGAGAGCTGCGCCGACGGGAAGGTAGTTGAGATGACCTGCTTCTCTCCTTGATATGTGGAATCGAAATCACTCTCAATTTTTTAAGAGTTGAAACCGGATAGGAGCCACGCCCCTCCGAGAAAGAAGACCTAGTGCGAATTCAAAGGGTTGCTTGCTTTGTGTCCCTTTTTGTCGACAAGTCCCCACCACTTTGGCCGAAATAAAGACTGTAGCCCATATGTTCACGGTAGCCCATATGTTCACGGTCGTTAGAGATAGTTCCAATCCTTAATCCAGGCTTATAGATATCACATTGAGATGGGCCAGAACGAGGATTTATTGTCGCTGACTTCTATAACCTAGAAAACATTACTTCAATCGGACCACTTTTACACCACAAAAAATACAGGAGATAACATGATTGGAACTATCTCTAACGACCGTGAACATATGGGCTACCGTGAACATATGGGCTACAGTCTTTATTTCGGC